GGCTCTGGTCATGGCCTCCTCTTCTCTTCCGTTTCATCTCTTGAACAACAACAACGCTGCAACGACTATGAAGATCTTCTGGCATGTCAGTAGCTTTTGCGTTTTTGCCCCATGTCATATGCCCCTCACAGAAGGAGACAATGGAAGACGGAGAAGACGCAGATGAGGATCCAGCGCCCCTTCCAATTGATGCCTATCCCCCTCCCTCCCAACCACTTCAGCTACCTCAGACTTTGGGCCCTTTTTGCACTTTTCCGGGCCTCACAGGAGGGAAAAGAGAGAACGAGGAACTCTCCCTCCCAAACCACTATTAGTTCCAGCTATTCGAACTTGTGCAAACCACTTGTGCACAATTAAGATCTGCGTTTAACCTGTCTGTTGAGTGCGTGAATGTATGTATGAAGAAAGAATGTGCCCACTTTTAAATTAACTAATTTATTATATTAGTGTATTCCTTTAATGATTATTGTGGGGTGTGTATGAGAAGAGTGCTTGTGTGGTATATATGATAGGACTGAGAATGCGGCCTGGAACCCCCTCCACTGAGTGCAGAAGCAGAAGTGGATTGGGGCCCAGATCCGCCTCCCGGCCTAGAACGAATGGTATGTGCAGCCTGCTGGGAAGAATGGGGGCCATGGGAGAGGGGGAAGGGTCTATGGGGATGGGGGCGGGATGTCACTTGGAATACAACAATGAACTAATATCTGACTCATTTGCACTCCCACCACAAATGCTATTGGTTTCTATGGTTTTATTGTATACCTTATTCTATTGGCATACCACTAGGTTTCTCTTTCTTGAACTTCTGTCCCGCCTTTCACTTTTTGTTTTACAGAAAGGCTTAAATCTTCTATTCCTGTGTTAATAATCTGGATTTAACTAGTCCAGTTTGAGCTCTTTCCCCAGTTGTGGCAGGTAGAATAAATGGAATTTCTTAAAAACTAGTTTTTAAAAGATAATTTCAAGTGATAAAATATAGTTTAGGGAGATCTTCTCACTTGCTTTATGTTTCACCTGTTATAATTTGCACTGCTGGTATAATTGCCATCCCAATTTTCTTAAGAACATTGTGAGATATTATTATTCTATGTGATAACTGGTAGTTTGGAGATTTGGAGGTACAGTTATTACTGGCCAATTATGTTAAGTTAGTTAAGTCAGCAGTCAGTTTTACTTTGGTTTCCTAATCATATTAATGAGCCCACATTAAGCAGTTTTATTTTAGTGTAGAAGATTCTTGAGGGAAACAAAACAGATATTAGTCACATTCAGAATAGGAAGCTCTTGAACTGCAGACAGCAGTTTCACTTCATGAGAATTAGTGGAACATCATTTACTTTGTAAGATATTTAATACTCTTAAAAGCATATAACAGAAGACAAAATCCATGGAGAAAAATAGTCAGTTATAAATTGCAAGTTCATCAGAAAAGGTATTTCTCTCTTTTTTGTAGAAAATTTGATGTTTATTCAAATGCAACTTATATGTTTACAACTTTTTGCTGCAAAAGAATGTTGGCAAATAATTACATAATGATTTAATGAAATAAGTTAGGCTATTTTGGGGAAGAGAACAAATGGGAGGTTTTTTAGATAATATTTTAGAAATTGGACTTCAGACAGTAGATTTAAAGGGAATTTTGAAACAGAATATATTTTGGAGACATTTCAGTGTAAATACTAAACAATGAATTAATTACATATCTAACATGTTGATACATTTTCTGGTATTTACAAAGAGTACATAAGAGATATTACAGAATTTTTGGACCAAGCTTTCATGCATGGACTGATATCTCTGGATACAAATAAAAGAAATGGATAGAAGGATTTCTAAATCTCTTTTTATTACGAATTTTAAGCATTTAAGTAGTATACTTGAAAATGTGCTTACATGGCATTCCACAATGTTAAAAAGATGCTGACAAGTCAAGACTTCATAGTTGCAAAAGCTTGTGCCTCATTTCTGACTTAGAATACTTCAGTAAATATACGAAGGTAATACTGGCTTGTGTAATATTACTATAGGTAATATTGGCTTGTACTGGATAGGAAACTGTTTTTTCAAATTAATGTATCACTTTCCTTTTCATTGTTTGATAAGGGGGTTTATTCATTTTTTCTGCTAAAGTTTGATTTCTTTTGGTTAAATATATATTTATTGTGAGATAATTATGTCTAATATTGCCAAGTGAATATCAAAATACCAGTATTGTTATATATAGTTATTTTTTCATTTACTATATATCATTAAATACATGGCAAGAATTTAGTATTTATGTATTAAATTCAAGGGGTTTTATGCTATTTTTAGCCTAGCAGCTTATGGGGAAATTGAGAAAAAATCACCTCCATCTCTTTCTCTCCGTCTTTCTTCCCCTCTTCCTCCTCCCTCCTCCCTCTTTATGCTCACACGCATGCACACAAACTCACACTCATTATACAATAAAAAAAAATTTTCTCTCAACATTTCCATGTTAAAAAATACAGCAAATTAGAGTATTTGTGTATTTATTGGCTAGCTTTACATTGCCTTTCTTCTAGAAGCTCAAAGATTCATTAAACATTTTCTGATTTTCCAATATTATCCTGTTTGAATGGTTAGACATTATGGTGGGTTAAATTATTCCCAATAATTTTCCATTGTTGAAAATGAATCTGAGCAGTGCTTGTCTTCTCCTAGGAATGCTTTTGATCATTAGGTGAAGAAACAGATCTGGAAAGAAGAAGGAAGAAAAAATTGAGGTTAGTGGTTGGTTCTTTAGTACAGACAGATAGAAATTGACAAGAGCATGCTCTATTATCTCCATACTTCATCTATGTTTACCATGCTATGAGCCTCTGTTCATTCTTTCTGTCAGATCCCTAAGCTAAAAAGCCCCATAGCTTTTTGCCAACTATATGGTTCAATAGCAGGGGGGCACCCAGCTTCATTTGCCACAAACCTCTACAGATAGGCATCGGAAGCCACAAGGAAATATTTACATTTATAGTGGCACTTGGCATGGAATGGCCACTAGTTATGGGTCTTGAATGGCTGAAAAAATGGAACCCCAACATTAATTGGAAACAAGGTACCATAAGAGTGCAGGTGCATGTGACTTTTGCTGAGAATCCAGACAAAGAAACTGAGGGGGCAGAGCACCTAGAAACAGCATGCCTGCTTACACTATGCCAACCCAGGGCATACCCAAAGAATATAAGGACTTGGCTGAGGTTTTTAGCAAAAAAGCATCTGATGAGCTTCCCCCCCCCCAATGTTCCACTTACTGTGCAATAGTCTACCCAGAGCCAAACTCCTTAAACTCAAAATGTATAGCATGTCTCCAAGGGACCTGGAAGAACTGAGGGCATTCATTGAGAAAAACCTAGCAAGGGGTTTCATTGAACCAGCCTGGCCAAAAATTGCAGCCCCAGGGTTGTTTAGAGAGAAAAAAGATGGCTCTAAACATTTATGTGTCAATTTTCAAAATTTGAATTCCATCAGTGTCGGAAATATATATCCCCTCCCACTCATGAAGGATATGCTAGCACACCTCTCTAAAGGGAGAATTTTTTCAAAGCTGGATTTAAGGGAGGCTTACTACCGTATCAGAATTAAGGAAGGAGAAGAATGGGAAACGGCATTTAACACCCCTCTTGGATGCTATTCAAAGTGCTACCATTTGGGCTACAAGGGGCCCCTGCAGTATTTATGCAATTAATAAACCAAGGCAGGAGCATTTATATAAGGGCTGCTTGGTCTACATAGATGACAATATTGTTATATTCTGAGACCAAGGCAGAACATGTAAAACTAGTCCGGGCAGTTCTGAACAAACTTTGCTTTGCAAAACTTTATGCTAAACTTTCCAAATGGGAATTCTATCAAGAAAAAATTGATTACCTAGGATACCGCATTTCACACCAGGGCATAGAAATGGATCCTGCTGACAAAAAAAGAGTAGACCCCAAACCTTTCCATGTTGGAGATAGAGTATACTTATCTACAAAATTCCTGAAGTCATTGCAGCCATCAAAGAAATTAGGACCAAATTTCATCGGACCTTTCCCGATCACCAGAGTTATTTACCCAGTAACAGTAGAATTACTCTTTCCAAAGACACTCAGGCAAGTCCATCCAGTGTTTCACATTAGTATACTCAAATGAGAAGTAATCTCACAACTCAGACCACCTGCACCTACACCTCCTGTTCCTATCATGATAGAAGGCAAACAACATTTTGAAATTAAGGAAATCCTGGACTCAAGGACCCACAGGGGGAAAACCCAATACTTAGTTCTTTGCATTTACCTTCATCCCAAAATGAATGGGCAGTGAAACACCATGTTAGGGCCCCTACCCTATTGAAAAAATTTCACTCCCAATACCCAAACCTTGTTAAAATAATATGATGCAATTTCTTTTCCTATCTTTTCATAGGTGGATCTCTTCTTTTTGTAAAGAACGGCAGCATGTCAGGGGGGCCTCAGAATTAAATCACTAGCTGTACCTGTAACAACTGAGATTTACAACTTTTACAACTGGTTTCCTGTTGCCCGAAAGACTGGAGGTCCCAGCACCTCTGGAGGCCATGTGGGATATCTTACTTTAATGTCTAACTAGAAATAGCCATGGGAACATGTGTTTTATTTGACTCTCAGGGCAGAAGAGTTAAAGAAACATCTTCACACTTGTATATTGGTCAGAATCTGTATTCTGACAAATGGGAGGGGTCATTATCAGTTTAATCCCACTTGCATTGCCTAAAGGGTTTCAGATGCTGCTTTGCCTCTAATGGTTTCCATCCTGCTTAATTAAAGGTTCCTTTTGAAATAATCTATTTCAAGAGTCTTTACTTTCTTAAGTTAGGAGAGGAGTCATTACACTTTCTGTACTTTATGTTTCTTTATTTTTTCTATTCTAATTACATATAAAAATACTACTTCCAAAATTGTATTTAATTTTATTTTCCTTCCTCTCTTTCTTTGCAGTTAAACCAGCTTTGTCATAACTGAAACATGGATAATCAAACAGCAATACCTTATTTTCTGCTCCTGGAATTATCAAAAAATCGTCACCTGCAGCTTTTGCATTTCTTCTTCTTCTTTGTGTTATATCTGGCAACTCTAACAACCAATCTTCTCATCATCACTGCAGTAGCTTTTGACCATCAACTTCACAGTCCCATGTACTTCTTTCTCATGAATTTAGCTCTGCAGGACCTGGGCATTGTATCAGTCACTATGCCCAAATCCATGATCAATTCTCTCATGGATACCAGACATATCTCTTATTTTGGTTGTGTTGCTCAAGTGTTTCTCTTTCTGTCCTTCGAAGCTTCTGATGTATCCATCCTGACAGTCATGGCATATGATCGGTATGTTGCCATTTGCAATCCGTTGCACTATGAAATGGTGATGAATTGGAAAACCTGCATTGAAATAATCATTCTGGTGTGGGTTGCAGGTGTTTTCTGTGGAATCTTACATACAATAGGGACTTTTTCAGTACTTTTTTGTTCTAATGTTGTCAACCAATTCTTCTGTGAAATCCCACAATTGATAAAACTATCCTGTTCTGGCTTCAATCTAGTTGAGATTGGAATTGTTGTGGCTAACATCACTGCTGCATTAGGTTGTTTTAGTTTCATTTTCATATCTTATGGAGTGATTTTCAAGGCAGTATTGAAAATCCCTTCTGAACAAGGAAGACAGAAAGCCTTATCCACTTGTATTCCCCACCTTATAGTAGTGTCTGTGTTAATATTAAGTGTATGCTTTGCCTATTTAAGACCTTCCTCTAACACTTCATCTGAATTGGATTTTGGGTCAACTGTTGTATATTCCCTTCTTCCACCCCTGTTCAATCCAATCATCTATAGCATGAGAAATAAGAATATCAAATTAATCCTTTATAAATTGTGGAGATTCTGAAAAAAAACATTTTAATGTTTTTATTGTGTTCCCCACAGTTTTTCATTTTCCTGGCTTTTCTTTTACTTTTCTGAATAAAGGAATATGGTAGAGATGGAGGAAATCCAATCTCTCACACCAGGAAAATACTTGAATTCCATATATTGCACAGCAATCTTCCTGCATCTCTAATTACTGTCAATGTAGATGTTTGACAGCTCTGCATCTCTAATTACTAAATGTGGATGTTTGACAACATTTTCAGAATGTGTTTACCACTGCCTCCTGCTTGCTAATGGAGCGAGAGAGGCCCAAAGTCACCCACTTGGATGCATTTTTTAAGACTTAGGTTCTGGTTTCTAGCCTGATGTGTCAACATCAACCAATTTTCAAATCCTATAGCCCAGACTATTATTTTTTTCATGTAGAAATGGTTTGGCAAGACAAGACAACTGGCATGCTAGGGAAGATATGTGAGCTGATACTATCTCACATGACATTTTCAAATTACAAGAAATGAAAAAAAGTAAGAAATTAAATTAGAATAATGCATAATTCTAATAAAACACAAACACAAAAAAACCTTTCAGAAATCTTAAAACTTGATACAAATTGGAAGAGATAATGCATGTTCCCTGATTTAATATCTGGATAAATGAAAGTAGATAGATCTACTCCAAGAATGATATCTCATTGAAATGTGCTGGAGAAATTATGAGTTTCATTTAAGCTACTGATATCAAAAATCACCTTACTGTTTTTATGATATATTGTATCTGCAATCATCCTTATAATGCCTTTTAAAATGTATACAAATGGAAGATTTATCATGTAATTTTGGGCTTAGTATAATTGTATCTGAGAAAGTGTAGTATACTTATTGAAACACGTAGGCAACATGAGCAACTTTCTTTGATGAGGATGAGGGGTTTTCAGCTAAAGGGATATGAAATTTTGTTCTATATTTATAGTCTTTTATTGAACTTTGCAGTCTTGTTTTCTTGCCTTATCTGTGGATATTTCTTGTCCATATTATATTTTACTGTTAAAGTTTAAACTTTCCTCTGCTTTGCTCAATAAAATGTTTCAACTTTTAGAGATCTTTTTTTTGTAGATGGTTGTTTCTAATGCACAAACCTCCTATTCACATCTCGTGTGGCAAAAGGAAATATGAAATATGTTCATATGAGCCCTTTATTTGATGAAAGAAGTTAGCATTCTATGAAGGATAAAGACAAATATTAGATTTCTGCAAATCTGCTAATGGACATTTTCCCTTTTGCCTTTGCTGAGTTGTTTAATTCTTGAAAGACCTAACCAAAGAAATTGCTTGGGATATTTTATTAGCAGAGATGTTGTGATATTTCACATTAAATGATGATTAGTGATTTTATTGTGGAATAAACCACAATTTCCCAGAATGTCAAAGCAAGCTAAGTCATAAATCACAATTATAAAAGATATTAACTAGATTAACAATAGCATACTAAGACTCAAATCATGAAACAATACGATTTAGCAAGTTATAATAAGTAATAACTTCTAAAACACCATTTTTTTATATTTATATTTTAAAAGAAGTTTCAGAAAAGTACTTGGCATTGTTACTTCTGTATTAGTTTTTTATGCATTCATATTTATATATGAGGGCATTTTTTTCCAAAAATAAGAAAAATAAATTATTCCTTTATTTGAGGAATATTAGTTGGGATATTGGATAATACTTTTCTGAACAAACCTAGTAATGCCCTGGAAATCTCACTATATAATTGTCAGAATTGACCACATTTGATTGTAGACATTGCCGAAAAAGATCTTCTGAGTACTAGAAAACATTTTGTAACACTATAACAAAAAGTGAGATTGTGAGGGATGAAGAAAATACAGTAGGTATTTGGTTCTTTCTTCAATATACATACAAGTACCAAAATGCAAGTTGTAATCTGTTATCATTTATCTCCCTTACTCCTCATGTCTCTCCCTTTTGCTTTCTAAAATCAAGCTGTAACTTTCTAAATCATATTTAATTTTATTGTCCACTTCTGCATCAGTCATCTTTGTTATCAGTGAAATATGCAAATATGGACATAGTGCTTTACTTTCTGCTCATTTGTTTCTCAAAATTAAACAGATGTTTCTTTTGCACTATTTTTGGCAATTGCAATAGCAAATCTTATCCTCATCTCTGCAATAACTTTGGTGATTAATTGTACAACCCCATGAATCTCTTTCTCATTTGACTATGTGGCATCTGGATCTGTTTCAAGAATTTTCCAAAATATTTTTCATTTATTACTTTGGTTCTACTGGTCAAATCATTCTTCAAACCCCTTTACAGTTCTTGATTTCCTCCTTAACTTTTGCCAAATGTCAAGGAAGTGATCAGATGCCCAAACATTTGGTTTCTTTGGAGCTATAGTGAATAAAGAGATGAATAAATATATGTTAACTTTTATTATCAATCAATGTAAACTGATTTAAAAGTAAAAAATAAAAATCATACAGAATCCAATTTGAGTTGGTCACTGGCACCAAAGGTTTATTCTATTAGAATTGGGCTCATGCTGGACCTCATCCTCGGAGAACTTATCTATTGTATTGTATTGTATTTATTTGTCTTGTATGCCGCCCACTCCCGAAGGACTCCGGGCGGCTCACAATAGACAAGGGAAGGGGGAAGACTAGACAAAGACAACACTTTAAAACAAAACCGCAACATTCACAATTTCCATGGGGCTGGATGTTTCACAGCCCCCCCGGCCTGTTGAAGCAGCCAGGACTTGGTGGCTTTGCGGAAAGCCGGGAGGGTCATAAGGGTCTGGATCTCAACAGGGAGATCTCTCCAGAAGAGGTGCACTGGGCATTATATTCATAGGATTCCTGGTTTTGTGTTGCTTTAAGTTGTTATCTCTCCCCATGGACACACTGGAGAAGAGCCTAATGTTGGGAAAGATTGAGGGCAAAAGAAGAAGGGGATGATAGAGAATGAGGTGGCTGGATGGAGTCACTGAAGCAGTAGGCATGAGCTTAAATGGACTCCAGAGGATGGTAGAGGACAGGAAGGCCTGGAGGAATGTTGTCCATAGAGTCACAATGATTTGGACATGACTTTGCACCTAAAAATAACAAGTTGTTATCTTGGACATTGATGGATAACTATTAAGTTCTTGGTTGTTGCTTCCTTGTGCCACTGTGCCCTTGGTCAGCTATCAAGACCCTAGTTAACAACTTAAAGCTACCCACTACCAGGAATCATGTAAGTACAATGCCTACAATAGGCAAATGCACATATTCTAGAGAGAGAGAAGTTCTCAGTGATGGGCTTCAACACAAGCCTGAAAGCTTGGAAAAATAAACCTTTGGTCCTGGTGACCAACTCAAATTGGATTATGCAACATTATCCTGGAAAACATATATGTATTTTCATTCACAAAAAAGCATACATCCAAGCAATATTTCTTATAAGCTACCAGGAGTTTGCTAATAACAACAGACATAAAGCAAATGTGGCCAATTTCTGCATTACCCAATAGTAGGTTCTCTGCCGAAGCTCCCAGCTTAAAGGCCAGTACTGGGTTTTTATTAAAATTTGGCATGATGACTTCATGTTTTTCTTTCTATGGTCATGATACTACAAAACCTACCTTGACCAAGTGGCACATGAATCTGGAATGAGAATTGAAAGTCTGAGAAATTCACCAATCAGAAAAGCTACACAACTATGGCAAGATTTACCCCATGCAGAGAAGGAAGGAGGGAGACAGGGAGAGGGAGGGAGGGAGAGAGAGAGAGAGAGAAGGAGGGAGGGAGGGGGAACTTTATTCAGCCTGCAAGAGTAAAAAGCAAACAGGTTAGCTCAGAATGGGCTATAAACTTTTAATCTTTTTAAATATGAAGTAGAAATCAAAACATATGGCTAAACTCCTCAAAATATAATGGTCTTCTGCATTGCCACTAGATTTCCTGATAATCATGGCATATTATTATTTGAAATCAAGTATAATTTGAGACATTAATCAGTTTGAAAATTGAAGTGAAATAATGATTCTAGTTTGGATCACCAGTCTCCATGGAATGTTGCTTACCAGCAACATCTTCTGAATCCCTTTCTGTTCCAATGATTTTAATCAGTTTTTTTGTTTATGTGACATTCCAGTTACTAAAAATATTCTGTTTTAGGCTCAACAGTTGAAACTGGAGTTGTTTCAGCTCATGGTACTGCATGATTAGACTGTTTTGTATCGTATCTTACATGACAATCTTCAAAATACTGAGGAGAATCCTGTTTATGTAAGGAAGGCTAAAGGCCTTCTCCCTTGTGTTCCCTATCTTACAGTAGTTCACATATTTCTGTAAACTGTTTTGTTTGCATATCTGAGTCCTCTTTCTAGCATCCCAGCTTGGTTAGATTTAATGTTATCTATGTAAGGATTCCTCTCCTAGCTTCAAAAGTAAGACTCTTGAAATGGAGTATTTCAAAAGGAACCTTTTATTAAATAGAATGGAAACAATTAAGTTCAAAGCAATGTCTGAATCCCCTTAGGCAATGTGAATAGAATTAAAGCAGTAGAGACCTCTCCCATTAGTTAGAATGCAGATTTTAGCCAATACACAAGTGTGAAGATGTTTCCTTTACCAACTGCCCTGAGAACCTAATAAACATACATTCCCATGGCTATCTTCCATTAGACATTAAAGTGAACCATCCCACATGACCATCATAAACATTGTAAAAAACCAGTTGTAAAATATCAGTTGTCATAGGCACTGCTAATAAATCGACTCCAAGGTCCCCCTCCTCTCAGTTGAATGTCAGTATCATTTTCAGGGATAGGACAGTTATCTATCCTAAATTCCAGTATTCCTTTACTCTTTAATCCAATGTGAGAAATAAGAATATCATTTATGCCCTATCTAAACTGTGGAGTTTTTAAATATTTCTTTCAGTGAGGTTTTTTTTTCTTTTCTCCCAGAAATGGACTTTTTTCTTATCTCTTTGCTCCATTCTTATAGTAAATAGCTACAAAGGGCATTGTAGCTGAGATTCAGGTTTAGCCTCTCAGTTCAATCCTTTGTAAGTCATGCTCCTGAGAAATGCTAGAGATTTAGCAGCATCTGAACTGCCCCAAAATAATGATAGAACTTTTCACATTCACAAAACCAGAATCAATTCAATTACTGAATTAACACCTTAAACAAAAATCTCTGGAATTGCAGCTCCACTGAGAGATTTCTATGGGAGTTGTTTGCTTCTGCCAAAAGAAAGGCACTCCATTAAAAAAGAGCCAACATTAAAGTTCAATCTGTGTACATTAATTTCACATGAATCTATTCTCTGAGGCTTCTTCAGAGTTTCTAGAATCTTTGAAAAAAGGAGAATTTCATTTGGAAAACCGTTTTCATAATGCCTTTCACATCTCTTATCTTGTCAGGCCTTTTAAATCATGGTTTATAATATAACCCACCACTTGTGAGGGACATGAAATATGCTGGGGAAAATGACATTATAGGTTTGATAATGACATCCATTATGATGGAATGCTAATATTACTACAACTCAGGCTGTAAACATAGAATCTTATTCTGAATTTGAGGAGATATCAGGTTCAACCCAAAATATTAACAAAACTATTTTGTTAATAAAATATTAACAAGGAAGAAATGAGGTTGATCAGAACCAATAAGAACTGGGGAGCAGAAACACTCTGGAGATCATCAAAAGTGGTAGGAGACACAATCGAGCCATCCTAATAAAGGAGACTTGAAATGCCATGAAAGGCTGTCTTCCATATTGCTTTCACATATAAATGTGAGACTTTAAGGCAATGGTGGGTTTCAAAAATTTTTGGAACATACTCTGTGGGTGTGGCCTCCTTTGTGGGAGTGGCTTGCTGGCCATGTGACCGGGTAGTGCTATATTGACTTCGTCAACATGCCTTTATCTATAGACACTGCTGTCTTTGTTCCTACCTGTTTAGTGGTGTGTATGTATTCTGTACCTCCTTGTACATGCCCTGATTTTCCAAATGGGATGTTCAAATTTTTCTTTATGGTCCAGATATTTTTCTGTTCATCCCAGTGAAAACTGTGGAACTGCTAGATACAGAACAAGGTTTGGTCATCCTACAATCTACATCTAGGAATCTTAACATTATTGTACTTTGCAGAGTATATTTCTTAAAAGTTTTAGGCTTAAATTTGTAATCATTGCAAATATTCTTCAACTGAGTGAAAGATGCTGAAATATGAAACCATTGAAATCTACTTCTTTATGTTCTGTCGCATGGGCTACAGATAGATTCTTCTGGTGAAGTGGTCGCAGCTTCAGGAATTCCCTGTAGGTAATTTACTATTACCTTACTGCAGGTAACAATTTATTACAGGAAACACATTGTTTCCCAATAAAATTGAAGATATGTAAACTTATTTTCTAAAACATAGATCCATATGACTCTATTTCTAAATCTTATTTGCTGTGTTTCTTCTGTGTGTATCTTATTGATTTCTATGGACTTACTTCATAACTTATTCAAAGTATTTTATAGGCTTCTATGGGCTTACAATGTATCTCATCTTATGAGCTTTGTTTTAGGTTTGTATTTGCAGTCTTCTCATGCATCCAAATGCACCCTACAAAGTGGTGTGGCTAGGCATATAATAATGAACTATTATTTTGTTTGCACTCCCACTACAAATGTCACTGGTTTCTATAGTTTTATTGTATACTTTATTCTACTAGCATTCCACTAGATTTCTATGCGTTTGGTGCAGAGGTGGATTCCTATCAGTTCAGATCAGTTTGGCTGATTCGGTGTTAACTCGGCCTGCCATACCCCTGAACTGGTTCTCTTGGCAGTGCTGTAGGCGCTGCCATCTTGTTTTTTGCTTTATTTAAGCAAAAATGAAACAAAAAAATCTTGTTTTTTGCATTTTTTTAATACTGCGCATGCATGTGTAGCATGCACATGTGCGAAGCGTGTCCCTGAGTGAATAGGCAATAGCAGCAGCCAGACCCCACTCCTGGTTTGCTGATATTTCTTTTTCTGCCTTTTCCCCATTTTATTTTGCAGCAAGTCTTAAATTTTCCATTCCTGCATTAATGTTGTGCCCTAACCTAGCAGAGTCCAAGCTCTTTCTCCAGTTCTGGTGTGCAGAATGGAAATTGGGATTATTTAAAAGCCAGAGGTGAAATAGTATCCAAAGTGATGAGACATTCTTCAGGGAGGTCTTCTCATTTGATACAAGTTTCACCTCTCATAGTTTGCACTGCTGGCATGACTGCAGCCCCTATTCTCTTAACAGTTTGAGACATTATTATGCAATATGTTGTTATTATGTTACAATGTTGTTAATAGCTAATTATCTTAATAAATACCCAGAAATACATTTTATTTTGGTGTTATTTTGCAAGACTCTTGAGGGAAACAAAACTAATATTAATATACATCCAGAACAGGAACAGTGAACTGAGTGCACATAGATTTTTTAGTACATGGAAATTATGGGGATAAAGTTTATTTAATATTTAATTTATTTAATACTCTTGAAAGCATACAATAGAAGAATCAATCTATGGAAATAAATAGTAAGGTTTAGAAATTGTAAACGTAACGGAAAATGCATTTTTCTCTTTTCTGGAGTAAATTGGTGTTCATTTAAATATATCTGACTTGTTATTCTCAGGCTTGGCTTTATAACTTTTCCATTGGGAAGAGAATTGAATCAAATAATTGTATAAAGTAGTGTTCAGGTATAATGGAATAAGAAGCTAAATTCTTTTGGAAGAGATATGAATTTTTTTAAAAAGATTATTTTTACAAAATGTGAATCTTAGCATATTTAAAAGTAAATATCAATCAGAATCAATCATAATTTGGAGAAATTTCAATATAGATAGTAATGGTAATTTTTCAGTTACATATGCATAAATTTTGATTAAACCTCTATGCATGTAAATGAATTTTGAAAGAAAATTGAGTGGTTGAACAGATCACTAATAAGTAAATTAGCATGAACAAAGTAATTTACAACCTCTGAGGAATGAATGAATGAAATGGATGGTAACATTTTTAAACGTCCTTTCTCCTTTCATTTTTGCATTTAAGTATTATTGTTGAAAATGTGGATCCATATTTTTGTAAAAATGCTGAGATGTCAGAGATTATAGTTGTAATAGGTTATGTCTCATTTTTCCATCTAAACACTCCTGGAAGCAGGATAATCATGTATATCACCAAGGGAATATTAAAATAGCAGTTACATTTTAAATAAAGTGCTATCTTATTTCTTCTAACCATGCACCATTATATACATGTGTAGGAATCTCATGTATCATTTTAAGGAAATTTTATGCTATGTTTTTAATCTAACAGCTGCTAGGGCAACTGAAAGGGAAAAAAATTCCATCTGTTTGTCACATAAACAAAGACACCAGGATTTCCAAGTAAATGATACAGCAATTTATTTTTCTATTCCTTTGTTAGATTCACATTGCCTTTCTTCTAGAAACACAGGGCATCACACAAAGCACAACCTCCAATTTTCCAACATTACCACCATCCTTTACAAGTAGTGAAAAGTTGTTACTTCTCCAAATATTTCATGGTTGAAAATGGACTTGAGCAGAGTTTTCGGAATCCTAGGCAATCCTGTTGATCAGCAGATGAAGTAATAGAACTGGAAAGAGGAAAGAAGGAAAAATGTGAGGTTTATGGATTTTCTGTGGGGGGGGGGTTGTATTTTTGTTTTTAGCACAAAAATGTTGTTTTTTCCCCATTGTCCGATTCTATGTTTATTCATCCATGCTTTACTTTTCATTTTGTTTTCTGTTCTCAACTGAAACGGTCACTTTACAAATTTCATTTAACTGCTTATTACTCTGCTTTCTTGCAGTTATGACATGCAGCTTTGTGAAAAATGAAACATGGATAACCAAACTGCAGTGCCTTACTTTTTGCTCCTGGAATTCTCAGCAACTCGGCAACTGCAGTTGCTACATTCCCTCTTGTTCTTTGTGTTATACATGGCAATTACAACAGCAAATCTTCTTATCATCTCTGCAATAGCTTTTCACCAACAATTGCACAGACCCATGTACTTCTTTCTGATGAATTTAGCTCTGCAAGATGTAGGCTCTGTTTCTGTCATTGTTCCGAAATCCATGGTGAATTCCCTCATAGATACCAGACACATTTCTTACTTTGGTTGTGTTGCTCAGGTATTTCTCTTTGTCTCCTTTCTGGGTTCCAATTTATCTCTTCTGACAGTCATGGCATATGATCGATATGTTGCCATTTGCCATCCACTGCACTATGAGAAGGTTATGAATTTGAAAAGCTGCACTGAAATGATGATTCTGGTTTGGTTTGCAGGTCTTCTCTATGGAACATTGCATACTACTGGCACTTTTACAATCATTTTTTGTTCTAATGTTGTCAACCAGTTTTTCTGTGAAATTCCACACTTGCTAAAACTATCCTGCACTGGCTTCAACCGGGTTGAAATTGGAGTTCTCATGATTAGTGCTGCTGCAGCATTAGGCTGTTGTACTTTTATTATTGTATCTTATGCCATGATTTTCAAGGCAGTGCTAAGAATTACTTCTGAACAAGGAAGGCAAAAAGCCTTATCCACATGTATTCCTCATCTTACAGTAGTGTTTATGTTTTTTATAACTGGATGCTTTGCCAATTTGAGACCTACCTCTGACACCCCATCTTACTTAAATTTTGGATTGACTGCTTTGTATTCTATCCTTCCACCCCTATTCAATCCAATCATGTACAGCATGAGAAATAAGAATATCAGATTTGTTCTTTCTAAACTATGGAGGTTCTGAAGAAAATCTTTATTTTTTTATATTCTATTCACTACAGTTTTACATACTTTTATTGCAAAGAATAAAGGAAACCAAAAGTAAAATATAGTGAAGGGAATAATAGTAATGAAGGGACACTTATCATTCTATAAACATTTGTTCTATTGTAGAAATATATTATGCCGTTATTAAAGTATTTTCCTTTTAATCATTTAATTGTTAAACATGTACTGCTGTAAAAGATATGCATAAAATCAATTGTAACCTTTTTACATTATAAATCCTCTTATATGATTCTTTTATAAGAAAGGACATCATCTCTCATGAAGAACTTTCATTTCTATCTTTTTTTGCGTACATTCCTTAATGCTAGAAGAGTTAATGTGTAACAGATAGATATGAGAGAAAGTAATTTGAGCAAACAAAGTAAAAAAAGATAACTTAGTATTCTGATATAGGAAATAAGAAAATTCAAAAATAAAATAATATGTAGGTATATAGGTAGAAATATAAATAAACCTTAGTCTGCTTTATAATAGTTAGAGAAAAGGACGTATACAAATCTATAACAGTGTTGTGTGTTAGAAATAAATGTTCTTTTGTTTGAAGATGGTTAGAAAGAGGTCCTGCTAAGGAAACGTTCCTTAATGCCCAGGAGATTGAGATAGGAAAAAGCCATGCTAGCAAATTACATTATGGCCAGTTTTGGGGTGGTGTTGATGAACATGTAAAGAGATTATGTTATCTCAAAAGGATTACCTGTGATCAGTCAATGGATCTGATGTAGAAGGGGCATGAGGGGGCATCAAGACAGAAAACTATAAAATGTAATCTTTTGAAATCCAAGGTGTGTTTCTTGACTAAAAACCTCCTGTTGAAGGTGTAGCCCAAGGGCATCACACTTTCTAAACTGCTTTCTTTTTTTTCAATAAAGTCCTTTTGTTTTCACTGACCCAGTTTTTGTTGGCTGTTTGTCATTTCCTACATTACCTTTTCTTTTTCTGATCTGAAGAAGGGAATATGTTAGAAATGGAGACATAGGTGAAATATAGGTAAATCCAACCTCACAAACAGAAGAATAGTGGAATTCCAAAAGTTTTTCAGCAAATATTTTTCATCCCTTATTACTGTTAATACACATCAGATGCTAAATGTGGATCTTGGACAACTTTGGCTTTCCAGAAGCTGAGAACACCTGAACTTTAGTAATGTGAAGATCAGGGTATAAAATGGTTTCCCTTTTAATGGTGGCCCATATTATGACTAGTTAAATCTGTATTCTTTCCAATAATATGCAGGCCTCTATATCTCCTTTGCTTATAGATTTTGATATTCTGTACTACTGAAACAGTCTTAACTGGAAAAGTCTTGACACCACCCCCCCCTTTTTTTTAAACTAGAGTTCAATGAGACCTGTTGGAGCTGGAACAGAGGTGGTTTCCTACCGGTTCGGCCTGGTTCAGCTGAACCATTAGTGGTTTGGCAGCCTGGGTTGCTGGATCCCTGAACTGGTTCTCCTGGCTATAGGTGCCACCATCTTGTTTTTTGATTTTGCACATATGTAGAACAATTTTTATTGCACTAGCTGGTCATGCCACCAAACTGGCCCGCTCTAACGCTTGCCCTGCTTTGCCATCGCCATGTGGATCCACAGAACTAACTCCTCCTACCTACAAACAGCTAAGCAGTATTTGGGTTAGCAGGGAAAGCGGCAAGCAGGCGAGCGGGCAGGCCCGGCCTGGCCTATAAGTAGGGAAATGAGCACCTAGACTTGACGAGGCAGCCAAACTTTTTGCATTCCATTTTCGTGCTTCTGGGTAGAGCAGAGCACAGAGCCAGGATGCCGCACAGGGCCCGCTTCCCTTCACCCAAAGGCATGAAAACAAAACACGAAAGGAGAAACCAAAGTGGCTTGGGGGCACCTCCCATGACTGCAGGACACAAGTGCGTGTGTGCAATCCAGTGTCAAGTCCCATTGTGGAACTCACCATACTTGGGGGGTGGAGGTGGTGAAGGGAGAGGCATGGAGGGATCTGGTGACACAATCCACAGCAGCAGCATGCTCAGGAGTGGATCCTCATCAGCTGTGGAGTCTGGAACATGGCCAGTGGGTGGCCTATCAATTGTCAGGGCTATGCCAGTGAGCAAAGTGAGAACTTGCAGACACTAACAGCACTTCTCTATTGAGAAGCACTTCTAGAGAAGGGGAGTTTTGATATCCAAGCTCTGTGATTTTCCATGACCCACACCATACCTGGGTTTTTTTTGGGGGGGGGGTTACAGCTGTGTCCTCCTCCCCCCCTTCTCCCAAGCCAGGATCGAGTGAACTTTCCTCCCTCCCTCCTGCCCTGCTTGCACAGTTTAGCACCTCCAACTGCATTTTTTCTATCTACCACCCTTTCCTTTCCATTGTTCTCTCACAGCCCACTTGCCTACCCGGTTTTCTCCTGGATTCCTCCCTCCTTCCCTTGCCTTCTCCAATATCCCCAGTATGCAACAGTTTTCTTCTGTATACTTGCCTCTACAATCTCCCCAACTACTGTGATAGTTTTCTCCTGAATTACTCCCTCCCCTGCCTTCTCCAATCTACCCAATTTTGCCCCTACATTCTCCAGAAGTCTCTTTTGGGGAGTTTTCCCCCTCTCCTCCCCCTTCCCTCCATTGGAGTCCCATTTTTTTTGCCACCGTTTCAGTTGATGTGGCTTGGTGGTGGGGTCATGTGACTGAGTATGTGCTAGTGATGTCAAGTTGGGCACACCTACTCAGTCACAAGCCCCTTCCACCTAGCCACACCCACAGAACTGGTAATAAAATTTTTTGAAACCCACCTCTGAGCTGGACGTCTCTTTAGATTATCAACAGTTTGGGGAAATCATATTGACCAGTCAAAGGAAAGGACTTACAGTGTCATGAAAGGCATTCTTCTACCATTTTCATACATAAATGGACTATTTTAGTGTGTGTTTAAAAGGGGTGGTAGTTGTACCACAATGCTGTTCCCACTTCAGCTGACTGCTATCTGCAGTGTGGCGGTTCAAATCTCACCGGCTCAAGGTTGACTCAGCCTTCCATCCTTCTGAGGTGGGTAAAATGAGGACCCAGATTGATTTTGGGGGCAATATGCTGACTCTGTAAACCGCTTAGAGAGGGCTGAAAGCCCTATGAAGCGGTATATAAGTCTAACTGCTATTGCTATATTGCTACTCTTGTCTCCACATATGGATGTGGCAGTTTTTATTTCCATCTGAATAGTGGACTGTATGTATATTTACTTTCCAGTACATGCCCTCTCCTCCCAAATCGAATGTTCAGGTTTTTTTTCAATTTCCAGCTATTTTCCCTTCATTCCAATCAAAGCTGTGGAACTGCCAGATGCAAAGTGAGGGTTAGTAATCCTACAATCTTTCTCTATTGATCTTCTTATTTAATACCTTAGCGCATGAGTGTCAAACTCACATTGTCACGGCAGCATCACATGACATATAGGGACTTTCCCCCACTTCGCTAAATTGGATGGTGACCAAGGACCAGAAGCCAGACCGCAGCTGCATTATAAGCCACTTTAAACCCCTCCATTCCATACATGAAGCAGACTGACACCCACCATGAAGACCTGACACAGACACAAACACAAAGCCAAACCACAGCAATGCAGTTTACCAGCTCAAATCCCCCGACAACTCAGACTAAGCCGAGCACAAAACCCCCAACCAATCAGAACACACCTCCACCCAATCAGAACACAGCCAAGCTCCCACCCAATTAGCTCACAACCCCACTGGCAGTTAATAGGAAGAAACAGCTTCAATCTCACCTTCGTGGAAGTTGTTGAGCATCTCGGAGGAGGAGCTGTGCTCGGGTTCCCCCAAGTTGGTGGCCCAGGAGAGTGAGATGTCCAGGATCTCAGAGGAGGAAAAATCCTCAGTGTGCCACCTCACAGGGCACCGAGGGGCCACCCAAGCCCTGCTGCACCTCAGGCTGCCACCGCTGCTGCCACCCCGTCAGAGCCGCCTTGGCAAGGCCCCTCACTGTGAGAGGGGGCTGAGAGTGCATGCGGCCAGCCGGGCTGAGGAGATGCTCCACCTCTGCTTCCTCTGGAGCTCTGCTGAGCTGGCTGAGAGTAGGCTGGCTTAAGGGTGGGGGGAGGAGGCTGAGGGATGGCGCAGGTGGCGCCCTGCCACAGACAAAAAAGTCTGGGCGGGAGGGGAGGGGGAGGTTGAAGGGCTTCGGCTCCCCTTGGAGGAAATGGCCAAAGCTCATCAGAGGAGGGGTGGAAAGGGGAAAGGGTGTGGCCGCAGCCCAGCCACACATATAAAGGGACCATCGGGACGAAGCTGGAGAGAGGCCGAACTGTTCCAAATATAGTATACTCACTAAATGAATGCTATGGTAAATGACACAGCTCAATTACAATGCAATGTCACATGAAATAATTAAATCAAAATGAAAATAAATTGAAATCTCTGAAAATTCAATATAACAATGCAATCGGAAACATTGAAATGGAATCATGAAATATTTAGTATAGCGTGTGTTGCTTTTATGGCCACCAGATAGCGCATGATACCAAAAATCATGTTTTTACCTGTCACAGGTGTGACATCTATGTAATATACGCATATAAAACATTCACGTATTTGAATGCAATGTTGTGTCAAAATTTCAAAGCAATTGGTGAAGAACTTTTGGAGATTAGTGATTTTGAACAAACAATCATTATATTTTTATTTATATAGATATATAGGTGATGGTGTTAACTTGGTTAGAACTGATTTGGATTTGATTACCTTTGTATCATTGTCATTTAGTGCTGGCTATCAAGTAGTTTCTTAGAGATAAAAGTTTTTCACCAAGCAAACTGAATCTCTGTTTGTTTGCAACGTGAACGCCGGAATGTGACAGCAATACAATAATCATAATGGATTTTTTTGCACTCCAACTACAAATGCCACTAGTTTCTGTGATTTTATTGTGTAACTATTGACATTCCATCAGGTTTCTATGGGTTTCATGGTAATTCT